ACGGCGCGCCCAGTGCCATGGCGTGTTTTTGTTGTTTTCCCCGGGTGCCACGCGCCTTCCGCTTTCGGGCGCCTGAAATCGCCGAAATCGCCTTCCGCGAGGCGCGGCGGGCGCGGAGGAGCAAGCGCCTGCGCGCTCAGATTTTCTGCGGACGCGAGTGGAGGCGGTGTCGGGTTTTGGTAGGCGGCGATGGATGCCCCAGAAGCTGAAGAACTGAGACATGCGTGGCTGAACTCACTTCCTGAGTTTCAGGGACTTTAGCCAGATTTCGGGAGGGGAGACCGTTTTGGTGGTAAAAAACAAATCAAGTTTGGACTTTCTTTGGCCAACACACTCAGCATTTGACCACTGGTTGCAAGGAGACAAAGGAAAAAGCGCGTCAAATCAAGCATTTGGTTGGTTTGCATCGTACCATAGAGTTGGCATCTGCACCGACGTTCACCTTGGTTGGTTTCAACAGAAACCAGAAGGACATCGTCCACATCAAGAATCTTTCATGGTGATCTACGGATGGGTTCCTCAGGGTCTTCGGCACGGGTTCCTTACAAAGCGTTAGGGAATCCCTTGAATGGACCCCGCCTGGACGGGACTCAATTGATTAGAAACTGGGAGAACCCAGCCAAGGTGGTTACATGGTTTGCCTTTTCCACTGCTTGTCGGATAAATAAGCCGCCCCCCGGGTAGTGTAGAAACCCTTTTCAAGGGAGGCGGTTCAGTCCAAAAGGCAAACCATGGGTGGTTAACCACTTCCTTCTGGATGTGCAGTAGGCCAGGTGATTTTTTTCTCACAACTTAGGATCCAGATTCGGCCGGGAGGGAGAGGGGGAGGGCCTTGTTTGGGCTCCCTTCCCTCCCCAGCCCCCATGAGATCCTCTTGATTCAATGGAATCAATTGAGTAAGCCTAAACTTGCTGGTGCTCAGGGAATGACCCTGCGGTTTGGGAATGAACCTAGAGTTTCCCTTAAAGGAAACTATAGAGGATGGTTGGTTTAGGGGTCATTCCCCCATTCCGGGACCTTAATTGCAAGAACCCCCCCCCCTGCAAGTGTTCTTGCTCGCCGAGCTGAACGAAGGCGTCGAGCTGCTTTGCAGACCGAGGCGTTCTTTGATTAGAGATGAGGTGAATTAGGTATCGTGGTTTGGATGGCTGGTTTGCGGGTTTGAACCCCAGTTCCTTTTGAAGAGAAGTGAGGAAGGTACCCTACAAAGGTTCCAACCATCTAAGGTGAGGATGTGGTGAACAGGGCGTCCGAACCCCAGGGACGTATGGAGATCAGGTGTTGCAGTATAGGTTCAGTTGTCCCAAACCGCCCTTGAAGCCCTGTAGGCCTGGGCAGGTTGGTGAGGTACCATTGCTTTGTTGAGCATGCATGCCGGCTGACTTGCCTTTTTTGGTCAAGCCAAAATAGCCAGGCAGCTGGACGGGGAAGGTCCTGCTTGGCTAATTTATTTTGCCTTGGCCAAGTTCTTTTTCCTCCCACCATGGACCCCCCGGTGGGGTACGGTGGTTGCGCCCCTGGCCGGGAGGCCAGCGGGCACACATGGCCCTCCGACGTTTTCCCAAGCGAGGAGTGTGCGCAAACGGCCCCCTTGTCAAGGGCTGCGCGTGACGGACCCGGGAGTTCCCCGGCTGCGCCAAAGCACTTTAATATGACCAACATCAAGCCGGGACCTCTAGAACGCGGAGGCACGACCGTGGTTCAACGAGGAAGAAAAAGGAGATGCGCCTTGCTCTGGCCTTTTGGGTTTCCAACGTTTAGTCATGGTCCCAAAAGGTGATCACCTCTATTTCTGGGCCGGGGCAACTGCCACTATGTCCACCCGTCGTTCTTTTCAAGAGCCGTTTGCTTCCGCTTTAGTTTGCTGAAATGATGAAAATTCGCAAGTTCTTCCTAGAAGCACGTGGCCACGAAGTCTAATACAGTAGGGACCCAAAAGTGGCTGGTCATGAACCTCCAAGTAAAAGATATCCGCCAAGGGGCGCCCTGTTGAAAATCAAACCTTTTGTGGACGGACGAAATCCCGCGCCACTTAGGACAGCCTGGAATGATTCGATTCCCCTGTCGATACAAACAATCAACGGTTTACCATGGTTTCAATGACATGGTGCAAAATGGATTTCCTCCATCCACAGTATTTGTGTGAAAGCGCCCATTTGATCAGCGCCCAACCCCTCTTTGCAAATTCAGATTCGAATTTGTTGCTTGCAAGGTTCTGCGTCATCCTCTGACTCGCAGCTTGGCCTTGGAGTCAGGGGAGCGCCCAGTGTTTGATTGATACAGTCACCACCTAAGAACCCCTGCAATGATGACTCCCTGCCAGCAATGGTGTCCCATGATTTCAAGCAACGCAGGACTTCGTTTACCCACAGCATTCCCAAGGTGAACAGGGCCCCTTAAAAGGTACAATTACAAAAATCAGCCATTTGATGTTCACAATCCCAAAAGGACACCACCAGCAGTGATCTGTGATGTTCAGGTGGGCCATAGTCCAAACCCAGTTGGATGGTTAAGGAAAATCCCAACCATACATGGGTGCGGCCGCCTTTGTCATTTGAAGAAGACTCCTCCAGCACTCGGATGTATAGTGGCTGCCTTTCCGGATTTCAGGATGTTGGGTTAGCCTGCGTCCTTCAGGGCTTCTCCATTTCCCTTCTTTGAACCTTCAACAGTGGCAATTTGGATGGAAACCGCCGGTAAATTGATCAACGGTTGATGTCGGGAAATCTAGGCAGCCCCTGTCCTTGTTGACGTCCAACACACGGAACCCAGGTATTTCAGTCTGGCAAGCCTTGTGAAGAGTTGCGAGCGTTGCAGACATTTCCCGTAGCCCTTGCCCTCCAGAACTCCTATGCTTGTCAAGGTCCCCCTCCAATCCAACGCAATACATCAGGGGCCGAAAAAAACGTGTTCTTTTTTAAGAGGCCGCGCTGAACGTGGCAACGCGCCACTGTTCAGGCACCCACACCAACGATTTGATTCCCCAACATGAATACCAAGAAGCGTTATGGTTTTGGCGTTTTTGAGGGTAGTACCTCGGTGGACTCACATATCTTCTCATGTCCGCCGCATTGGGTGATTGCCCGGAACAGGCTTCCGACATGAAATGGATTTCAATGGCACCAGCATATTTAGAGAGCGGCACTTCCTCCCACTAGCTCCTTGATTGGTGGCGCGGATATGTAGCCCGACTTCCATTCGAATGGGGAAGATACTTCCCGTCGAAACCACCGGGCTCCAAAGGGGGAAGGTGACCCTGTGCACTTCCCTTGGCTTGAGGACTCGGTTGAAGAAGAAGAAGTCCAAGTGAGCCACGCGAATGACTTTTTGCTCACGAACAATTGCCAAGACGAGCTCGGGGAATGGCCTCCTGGGGATTCGATTTCTTCTTTCAGCTTGGCGAATTGAAGATATGGCTGAAATGTGTAATCTCGTAGTTATTTTATATGTGGCCCTGCTTGGTGTTCTATCGTCTCTCCTTCAGGCTGACATCGGACAATGTACATCACCCGCCAAAGACCAGCGGGGCACACTGAGATTGGCCCAACATGTTGTTGCGCATCCGTTGGATGCGCGCAGAGGGGCATTTTGCGATCTCGGGACAAAAGATGGCGTGTGTGCCTTTTTTGCAGGGGACCCAGACAAGAAACGGGTGCCACCTCCAAAAAGATATGCCTTGCTTCCGGCGCTTGGCTCAGACCGCACGCTCTTGAGACTCCCTTGACTGCTTGCTTGGGGGTTTTGCGCATTCTTCCGTTTGCTGAAAGGAATGACGGAAGCTTCAATTGGTTGAGTGCTTGAGTTTCCCGTATTTCACCACTGAAAGTTTTCGGCCTCTAGCAGTGGACCTGAAAACGGACATGTCCTGGTGGGGAAACAAGTAATCGTTCATTTGCTCAAAGGAATAGTTGTTTGATGTTCCCTGTGGTTTTAACATGGGAATCGATTTCACTACGGAAAATATGTTTTTGTATTTTTCCAGGGGGCAAGACAGCAAATGGAAGCATTTATTGTGTGGAGGATAATAATGGAGTTTACTCTGAGGGAGCCCCAGAAAACCCTCCAAAATAAGTTTTTTCACTAACTTTGTCGACCTTGAGGGGTGGGAGGGGGAATGGGTTAGCAAGGTTCCAACATGAACGAATAGTGGTAACTACTCCCCTTCAGATTTGCATGGGACCCAAGAAGACGCCATTCGGGGACTCTCTGTTTGATGCGCCCCCCCCCCTTCTGGGTAGAGGAGTAGAAGCGCCAGAACAGCTTTCTCTCTGGACCTTGCTTGTTCGGTTTGCAACGTGTACCTAGTTGCCCTTTTCACCTACAAAAGCCTTGCCATGTTCCATAGGGGCTTCTCTTAAACCTAGTACCAAGGTTAGTTGTGCTTACACTTCAAGCGGACTTGTTTGGTGTTCAATCAAATGCGCTTTACAGTGGCTTCCCTTTTGTGTCCTTCATAAGCACCTAGAAACAGGGTTGCTCCCAGCAAGACGAGCAACACACAAGGGTGGACAATTGGTAGCTGTCCTTTGACCATCTCTCTCCCTTTCAGGAGACGCCCAGGCCAAATTCCCTGGTTGTGGACAGGTTGTGTTTTCTTGCTGGTGCTCAGCAGGGAATGAGGGAATGACCCTTACAAACCATCCCTAGTGGTTTCCTCTACGGTGACACTTGGGTTGATTTCATGTCTCATTCCCTACTGAGCACGAGCAAGTTTTAGGGAAGTCCATTTTCTATGGCCGAGGGAATTTTTACAGGTGTCACGTCATGGGAATCCTTTCTCACTTTGGTATGGGTGCGAAATCCATCCAGCATCGCCCAATAATCCTGGAATGATACGATTCCCCCTGCAAATACCAACAAACGTTGTGGTTTCAACTATGGTTTCTTAGCTGGTGCGAAATGGGTTTGGGTTGGTTTACAAGGAAACCAAAAGGCAACCCAAGCATTTGAGAGGTTTTTTTAGAGAAACCCAGCAAACCCCGTGGTCTCGACCGGCTTAGACCTACTACGCGGTGATGTCCAATGACAAGCGCACCACAGCACGAGCCTCGGGTTTTCCGCGATGCCGCGATGTGGGACTCAGCGAGCCAAACCATCCATTTGAGCCACAATCAACACCCAGGTAGATGAAGGTTAATAAGGGACGATCCCAGCCAAATAGCTGCGGCCGCCTTCTTAATCCTGTACATGGTTCTGGGTAGACCATTTTAGTACCGGGTTTTGATTGCGACTCATTTGGGTTTCAGGATCTCTTCGTTCCTCCGGTTCCGTGGGTGTTTAGGTAGGCAGATCTGAAAACGGACAGCCCTAGCCGGCGATGGCTTCTTCCTTATTCTCCCCTGGTGCGACAGGGAATCTGTCACTACTGGATATAACGTTTTCTTTTGTTTTTTTAACGGGGTACTGAAGCAAATGTCAGGCAATCCTGAGTTGCTGGTTTGGATTGATGGGTTGGATTCGGGTTTGAACCCCTGGTTCTTCTGGAGGGAACCATGGCTTGATTTGAACCCCTGATTCTTGCGGAGGGTAAATGGGAAGCCCTCTGGAAGACCACCAAACCGCCGATTCGGCCAAAAAAACAACCAATTGACACATTGGGGGGGGGTCCCTGGAGAGCACCAGGTACCAGGGTTCAGAAAGGAGATGGCCACATTTTGACGTTGGCAGCCAAAATTCGCGAGATGAAGGGTGGATGGGAAATCGAAATCCATCTCGCATCACCGAAGACCCTGGATTATCGATGGTTTCCAATATTTGTTCAACCTGGTGAAGGAGTTCGTGGCAACGCCAACAGCAGGGGAGACACCAAGTCGGTGTTCTAGGGGAGTCCACTTGCCATGGCCGAGGGACTTATGACTCCCTACAGGTGCAGACGGAGCTGCAGGGATCCCTACTAGGTCCAGTAGGGGGCCCTTCACCCCGTTTTTGGGGGAGGGTTCCCCTACGAAAATAGACTACAGAAAAAAAGGGTACCCATATTCTAACCCCTCTACCAAAGGACCTATTTCCCCGTTTTGGTGTTTTAAAATTAAGTGCATCACCTTTTTTGGCCCACTGGCTCGGTGAGTGTCCCTTGGTGGTCATATTTTTTGGTTGGAAGTAAGTAGCCCGGGAGATGTGTGGAAATCCGAGCGCTACAAGGGCTGTGACTCAAACTTAGGGAAACTGGTAGAATCTGGTAGACACGTTGAGTTGCAGGTCCACATGGGCGGCTCGTCTTTTTTTGCCGGTACCGTTTTTGGGATGGGCTTTCAGGGAAACCGAAAAGGACGATGCAGTTGTTTGAAGGGAAGCCACCAGAACACACAGAATTGTTGGTTGGTGTCCCCTATTTTAAACTGGGCTGTTCAAAGGTAATCCTCAATCCTTACCTTGGGTTACACAAGGGGTTTCCTTTGTAGTGGCTTCCCTATAGGGATTATGGATTAGGATTGGCCAACCCTCCATTTTGAACTCCCCTATTTTAAAGCACACCCACATCAATCCCTGTGGCCCGGTTTTCAAGTGGGTTCTCCAACATGGGTGTGTCTCAACCAAAAATACTAGCGGTTCTCAAAGGAGCTCCCCGTGAAACAACAACCCCCAAAAAAGCTTCCCTGAAGAAAAGACACGCCCCACATAGGCATAAGCCCCAAAGCAGTGTTCTTGTCTCTTTCGCCGTGTCACTGTGCGGTTCAATGGCGTGGTGACCACCGCAGTTTGGAATCACAGCTCGCTCAAGCCTCGTCCTCGCCCGTCATGGCTCCTCGCAGCTCCATGTTGGCCGCCGGCATTGCAGCTGGTGGGTACGTGGCCACGCAGGGCTTCGTGCCTGGTTTCGGGCCAGTGAGCAGCGAAGGCGCACGCCTGCGCGGAACGGCTGCGGCTGCGACTGCGGCACCGGCAGCTCAGGGCTCCAGCAGCGTACTGCCTTTCATGGGCCTCGTCGGAGTGGGAGCCGCTGCAGGGCGTGCAGGCCGCATGGCCCGACCGGCAGAACCCTTGTCCGCGGCTGCGGCGGCTGCCGCCAAGGCGGCAGCCGCGGCCAAGGGTGCCACTGCAACCACCTCGGCCGTGGCCGGCTCTGCCGGCGCTGGGTCCCTCACAAAGGGCGAAGGTGTGGCTGGCAGCAGCGGCGGCAGCCCTGCCTTCGTTCCCTCCGCCCAGATCGGTGCCATGGACCCACTTGGCTACTTCGACCCGCTTGGCTTTTGCAAGCAGGGCGATGAGGCCGGCTTCCGCAACTTCCGTGCCGCTGAGATCAAGCACCCTGGCGGTTCCCAGCCATACCCTTAGGCATTGTTGCTGTTTGTATGTAGAGGGATGTAGGAACATATCCCATCAACAGCTTAACATTTAGCAAGGGATCAACGAACCACTAAGTCACTAAGGCACGGCCGCGTGGCCATGATGGCAGCACTGGGCGCAGTTGTGCAGCACTACATCAAGTTCCCGGGCTTCGAATCCGTGCCTACTGGCCTTGCTGCTTCCATCACTGCGCCCGGCAGCTATGGCTTCGTGGCCCTTTTCGCACTGACCGGCATCCTTGAGTTGGCTGCTTGGACAGAGAGCGATGACAAGGAGCCGGGCAACTTCGGCGACCCGCTGGGCCTGAACCAGTACAACCAGGAAATGCGGGAGCCTTGGGCTGCAAGCAACTGGCTGCCAGGGCTGTCTATGATGCTTTCACCTTGAATTCCAGCGTTGTACAAACTGTACTCTTGCGTTGTTTTCTTTTCAGTTGATATGGCATGCTTGGTATGGCTGAGGAGAGGGAGCTCAACAACGGCCGCTTTGCCATGTTCGCTGCCATCGGTATCATCGCGGCGGAGCTCTACACTGGCAAGGACGCCATTGAGCAGTTTGGGCTGTGAATGTTTTGAGTCCGAGATGGTTTGACATACAAGATGTTTTCTGGACCGGGGCATTTGCAGACGAGCATGGGCAAAGAGGTCACGGATATTTTTGTGAAATTCCTCATATTACAAAAACGTGTGTATTGTGTGCAGCGAGTCTTGCCCTTGCTTGCATTTTTCTGCTTCATCTTCTTGAAGCTGTTTTCAGCCTCACAAATGTGGCGAGTTTTCGCGTCTTTGGGGTTTCGCCCAAGATGCAAGTTACCCATCGGCCAAAGCGCCACAGACAAAAAAATGCGGCTTCGGTTGCAGGCGTTGGATGGCGTTTGCGGAAGTTTGTAGATGTGTTGAGCGAAAGTTGCTTCTCCAGACGCGAACGAAGTGCATGCTCTATCCTTGGTGGCCCCCAGCCATCCGGTTCCTTAGCTTTTTAGCCTTTTAGTGTTGAGTGGTAGTTTCCATTTAACCCACCAAAAGTTAAACTTTTAGCGGGGGCTCCGAAGGCAGCCCAGTATCGGATCATTCTGTGGCCGATGCATAGGATTGGCCTTTCCAGGCCAGAAGTCAACACAACCAAAGGGGCTAAGCAGCTTAACGTACCCCTGGATCGCCAGTTGCTGCTTTTTTTTCTCCATGCACTTTGCTCAACAAAAAACCAGCAACAGTGACTGAAAAAAACAGCAACTTGGCTATCTAGGCTGACAACCCCATTCCACTCATCTTAGCCCTTATATGAACTTGTGGTAATTTCCTGCGCCAGTCGGATCCCAGTTTCTACAGAAGGTAAAACATTCATGTTCCTTCCTGCGTTACAAGGACGGTTACCTTGGTTGCCTATTACACACTTCCATTTCCACTTGCTTAAGACTATGTGTGTGTGTGTTTCCCCTGTTGCTTTTCAAACAGAATCTGACACTACTGCACAAACAGCCGGACGGTTCACGGCGAAATGATGGCTTTTCTGGATCCTTTGGTGCATTTTGCCAAGGGAGGTTCGGACTTTTAGCTTCTTGCCAACTGAGTGTTGCGTATTTCTCCCCATTTTCCGGGAACCCCTTGGACCCTAAATTTCTGAGGGGGTTCAAGGAGAACCCCAAAGGCCGGAAATCATGAGGTCTGGGGCCGGATCCTTGGGCTCCTACTTTTCGCAGGGCTGATAGATTTCGATCCGATGGATCGAGGTGACCATCGCGCAGAAGTCCCGGTTCGGCATAGGCGATGTGTTTCGGCCCGGAGGATCGCAAGAGGGTCTCATGGTTGTTGTTGGGAAACATTTTTTTGATTTTTGCTTCTTGTGGTTTAGTGGTTGAACTCCAACCACTTAACTGCCAAAATTCGATTTGTTGCTCCCCTAACCCAACGTCAACCGCCGGGTGTCGGTGTCTCGAAAAGGAGGTCGTAGCGCGGATTTTGGTGCGGCATCCGCTTCTCGCACCATGGGAAGTCATTGATTGTTGGCATTTTCCAGGGGAACAGCGCGTTTTTTTTGTTTTTTAATGAAATCCGCTTCTCGCACCAGGAAAGGAACCAATGGGAAGTCGTTGGTGGTTGGTACTTTTATAGGGGAATTGTTGATTCCATTGTTATTTAGGTGGGTGCGAAGTGCTTTTCGTCCATCCACTGTATGCGCCATGGTCCAAATGTCCCCTTTTGAGGTTTTTGTGTCTGGTCATGGAGGCTTTACGGATTGCAGACCACCGGAAAGGTTGCGGAAAATTGACCGTGGCCCATGATTTTTAACTGAAGCAGATGGCACAAAACGCTCAGGAATCAGGTCAACCCCCCCTTGCCCCAACCCCGAGGCACTTAGCATGTGCCTCCGCTTCTGAAAGCAAGCAGGGGTTGGAAGATTGTCCAATGCTTAAAGACCTTGAAGCAAGGTTAAAACCACCCAGTCTGGGATAAATTCTCGGACTCGTCTCTCTCAAAAATATATAATCGGAGCTTCCACGATGGTTGAGATCCTTCTGACGTCCCTTTAAGAGCCAACCGGAATCACATTCCCGGAACATGACACACAACTCTGCCGCAGCCTGAGTTGTGTCGAAAAAGCAGAGTGTCGGGATGACCTGCCTAAGGTCGATGCAAATTCCATGTCTTCATAATTCTATAGTGATCCTCTTTACTCCCTGGGGTTCAAACCACCATTAAAACAATGGGGGGGTTCATATAACCACCGTTATGTCTAAGTAGTGTAATCATCAAAATTGGGTCAACCATTATTGTAATGGAGGTTGAACCGTAGGGTAGTTGTTTCAAAAGGAACTGTCCATGGCTATAACATCATGATGACATTTTGAAGCTTCGGGAGGGGCGAATGACCATGGCAGAATAATTTTGCATTTGGGGAGGGGCCTTAGGGCCTTGAGCGGGGCTCCGGATGAATACTTCGGCCATCCGCGAGTTTGTTTGCACAGCTTTTTGGGGTTGCACGATCTGTGGATTTTTTGTGGCGGCGCGTCAGTCCGGGCAAGGGACTCTATGACTCAGGTTTTGGGGCGGGCTCTTGAGGTAATTTGGTTTGCTAGCCCATCACAACATTTCAACTCACTGACGTTCATCTCCAACATGGTGTTATTTTGTCTCACTTCCTGAGTCGCTGCACTGTCAACTTTTTGGAACATCATTTTAGTAACACAAAGTGTGGTTACTTGTTTTGGATCCAATCCACTCGATCGGAAGTGAGTTGTAGACAAACTGTTTGCCAGGACCCCAAAGTACGGTCAAGTTCCTCAACGGACAAACCCAAGCACCTCCCATTTGGGTTGGCGGTTGGCTTTTTGGGTTCGAACACCCTCGGAGACTAAGGCAACTCGCTTCCCGAGTTCCTGCACTTTACATACTTGTTGGGTTTGGAGCTTTTTAGTGGTTCATGAAAAGTTCGGACTTGTTAGGCAAGCCACTCGATCGGAAGTGAGGCCAGGCGTGTCTCCTTTGCTTTCCCGACAAGAACCCACCAAACAGGGGCCGGGGGTTGGGGGATGGGGGGGGGGGTGGCGGCGAGCCCCAACCAAAGTCGACCCCACGAGCCCAAGGCGCTGTGGGTCAAAACCAATGGTACCATTTTGGGGTAGGTGAATTCACCACCCATTTTGTCTTTTTTAGTGGTTGGATTGGGATGTTCACTGGGGGCCAGCCGATTTGGGTTCTGACCCACAGCCAGGGGACGTGTACTTCCTCGCCGTTTCCATGGGCATTTGCGAGGTCATCGAGGAAGATGCCCTGGACCAAGAGAGAGCGGAAACGGCTGGGCGGCTGGGCTTGGGGCTGCGACCGGAAGCTTAGCTCGTCTCCAAAACGATCTTCTAGTTTAGAGAGAACTGTAGCCCCAATTCAAGCCACCATAAAACCACCGGGGGGGCTGATATTACCACCCTTGTTTTACAAGTCATCTAAATAGGTGGGCTGTTCAAGGGCAATCGACAAGATCCTTGCCTTGCGAAAGGACTTGGCCCCGTTTGTGCTGGTTGTACAAGGGATTATGGATTAGGATGTGCCAACTCTCGCTTGTGAACAGCCCAGTTAGGGTAGACAAAAACAAGCAAGAGATCAGTCAAAAGCTCACTTCAGAGAGCACCAGTTTCGTACCCCAGATGTGGGCCAGGAGAGGAAAACTCTCTGCCATTTGGGTGTTTCTTCATGTTCCCTTTTAGCCAAGAAACGACACCATGAACTTGTTGCAGCTTCGTGTCGACCCGCCTGGCGCAGAGCAGCTTGGTTTTGTCTTGTTGTTTGCAGAGGGTCATTTTTTGACCAACACAGATTCTAAGATGTTCATTTCCTGGAAGCCGAAATGATGTCAGTGTGTGTGTGTGTGTAGGAATGCGTTCTGTGTCGAGACGATTTCAGGGTTGGCAAAGTCGCCCGTAGGGGAATTATGGGAACCCGGCGTTAATACATCCTTGGTGAAGAGAGTGGAGTTCAATTTAAGATGGGATCGTGTATTCGGAAACCAAACACCCTACCACTCCCCCAGGTTTGTCATGCCATGAACACATCACTCGAAGGTGAGTTGCCTTTTGCTGGGGAGATGTTCAAACTGGGAAGTAATCCCTTCTCCCTATTGATAAGTTCGGCCTGTGAATAGATAGTGTGATTTTCACACACCGCGTTTATTCATCTTTGTTGGTATTTTGCTTGGATGTTAGGACTTCAACTTTTCGCCAACCAATGGGTTTTCCATTAAACCACTAACAGTTAGTCACTTTTAGCAGGGCTTCGCAGAAAGCGACCGAGTCATATGGCTGCAGCTCAGAAACCGGCACCAAGATGGGTTGCCCTGGTAAGTGGAAACACGGACCAAAACCTGCGGCTTGCCCCTCCGATCGTTTAATTTTGAGCCACGCCCATATCATTCTTGGGGGAAGGGACTCTCCGGTGCTGAAGCTTGGATTCGGGCTCCATCCCGAGAATTTCTGAACGGGCGCGCTCAGATCAAGCGGGTCAGCCCCAACGCCATCCACATGCAGAGCGGCAAGAAGGCGGAGGCAGACGCGTGAGTCTCGGGTTTGGGAGGCCTCCGTTTGGGGCAGCTTTCAAAACTTCCAGGACCATTTGCTTATTGATTATTTTCTCTTGCTGGTTTTAAGGGAATCTATTAAGTGGAAATACGTGTTTTGTTTCTCAAAGAGGGTAACTTCTGACGAAAACGACCTTTCAGTAAAGCCTTAACTTCCATGCAACAAGTCCAAGGTTTTGTCCAACATGATCTTTCACAAGAAGTGTTGACTCGCAGAATCCAAGATTATATACCGAACCCCCCCCCCTTCCGCCCTTGGGGCCCCTGCTCTTAGCCCTGTAAAGACGTCTTAGACGACAAGGGGCGGAGGGGCGGAGGGGGTGTGTTTAGCAATCTATTGAGAATCTGTGAAAGTGAGTCATAGAATCTCGATGAAGCACGAGGACGTCTCCCTTCCATAGGGGAAATGCACTATGTTTTTGGGGGATTCCTGTGAAGAGTAGGGCCCTCCCTTCATAGTAATCATTTCAAGGGGATTTTCACTTTGGTAGGTGAGGGCAAAATAGGTGGTGTCCGTTTGGTGTTTTTGGTACCCTTAAACAACACACTTTGCATAGTGCGGTTTGTTGTAGCTCCTTGTCAGTTGTGACGGGCAGCGCTACTGACTTGTGAATAATTTGTGTACTGACCACATATTTTGGGCACGTGTATTGAGACAGACCCACTTGGGCTTGCAATATATCGCCCTGATACTTGAATGCCTTGTGGCTTGGTCTTTGACCCCGGTATACCTGGACTTAAAGGGATACCACGGTAAGCTCCTCTTGCCGTGTCTTGCTACCTGTGCAATCTTGTTTTTGGACTTGACATGTCCGGAAGATGTTCTTCAGCGTGGCGAATATTATGTTCATCGTCGCGGAGATTATGAATGGACTCCGTCACACTCAAAATTATGTGTGTGGGCAATACTTGACATTGGACATATTTGCAGCAATGTGTATCCTGGTGAGCCTGTCTAGATGAGTCATCCTGGGTGGCGTCGCAAACGCCGCTGGTGACACCGTTGAAATTGTCCAGAACGCAGCTGCGTCAAGAAGGCAGTTTGAATTCGCAAGTCATACTGCTCACTTGCTGGCATTTGGGGACTAGCGACTTGCACTTGAAGATTTCTTCCAAGGATCGGGTGGGGCTGGATTGGGTTGACTTGGCGGACGTGATTCGAGTGATTCAGGTGTTTCGTTGACGTGTTGATTGGTTGGGCGTCTAGTTGACAACGACTACCTGGCTGACTGTTACTTCTGTTTGACCATCTCAAAGGGTTGAAGGTCCAACCATAGGTGTCCTTTTTGCTTGTTTTGTTAGAAAAATAGATGGCCCTCGTTTACCTGGTGGTTTAGTCATCTACCAGGGCCATCTATTTGCCCTAAAAGGACACCTATGGTTCCAACTCATTTTGGAACCCCCCAAACATTGCTATATGGTCTAAGTGGGATTTCCTAAGGCTAAGCGAAGGAGCCCTTGTGAGACAAAACACGCGGCCTGGTTTTGTGGGGCCGATGTTGCTAAGACCTGGGAATGCCATTTTTGATGTTTGCTGAGCGGGTAACCAATTCTTACCATCCTTGCATGAAGACCAACCTGGTGCAACAAAGTTTATGGTTGTTAGACAACATGTACCTGGCGTCTCCATGACCCTTTAAACATGGGGTCATGACTTCTTTATTTTGGGTACTGACCAACCATTGTCTAAGGGTCAGAAGGAGACCCCAGGTACTTCTTTTGTTGAACGGATTGTAATTTCCAGGCCTCAAGTTGGCTGAGGATCCCCCAACAAATTCCTGAGATGCACAGAGTTTGCCAAAACGAGGGCCGGTCGCCTGATGTCGAAATTAGAACGGGGCGTGTAGATGGCATAAACATGGTATATCTTTCCCTGTGTGTTGTTTGTTGTATGGCCGTGCCTATTTGAGGGCCCCCTTTCTTGTGGCTTAACGGGACACCACAAGGAACACCTTTTTTGTGAGGGCAGGACACTGTGGTAGTACACTTTTTGCTGTTTTATTTTCTCATTTGTCAGCACGAAATACACTATGGTACTACCACAGTGGCCTGCCCTCTTTTTTTTGGGGGGGGGGCTAAAAGCAGAAGAACCACCCACATCTTTCCTTTCAAGAGATCCCGGGCCTAGCGCTGTCAACCCTTTCAGTGCTCACATCGAGTCAAACAAGGCGGCTCCGTTTAGGATGACCAAATCCTTGGGTTTTGAGTTGGTTTTAGTTGGTTTCGTGGGATTTAACCCACGAAATATTAAGCTTGTAGTTGGGGGTCTGAGGGCAGCCCAGAAACGAGGGTTCGATGTTCTGACTTGGTAGACTTAAACTTCAAGAGGTTTTTTGTTAGGACATCAACCGGGTTTAAGTCTGCCTGGTAGTCCAAAAATCATTGTGTGTGTTGGTGGTTGTGGTTGCGTTGGCGTTCGCGTGTTTGTCTGTTTGTTTGTTTGATTGTTTGTGTTTGTGTTTCTGTTTGCGTTCGTGCTTGTGCTTGCGTTTTTTTGTTTTTCTTCTTTTTCTTTTTCCGACCCAACAAAAAAGAGGACAGAACAAAGACTCCGATAATTTTCAGGTTTCTCGAAGCCAACTGACACTTCCTCGAACCACCCGATTTGGGGGGGGGGCGGCTTGAGCCAGGTGGACGTAATCCTGAAGCTCTACGGGTTTAACGGCAACTTCGAGGTCGACCGCCTCATGCGCCTCGGCAAAAAATATCCGCAACACATATTTGGTTGGGGTCTACATGACCCTTGGAAAATGGTGTCAGTACCAAAAATAAAGGGGTCCTGACCCCATTTTTAAAGGGTCATGGAGACTTTGGGTTTCTGAAGTAGTGCAGAGTTTCGTCTGACCAGGAACCCGTTCCGGGCACCTTAAGGATCCCGAACGGGGCCCTACCTTGTACCGACCCCTTAGAAACTCCACACGAAAAATCGACGACCGACAGTTTGAAAGTCGACAACTCTCCGGGTCCCTCCGAAACAAAAGCAAAAAGGAGGCGAGCAGGCCTGTGCCATAGTACGAAGGTTGGCGTCTACATAGTACATTACCTGTCAAATCATCGTTGTTTGTTTGGGGTTGGGCAGAGTAGATATTTGGGAGAAGCACCTTTTTGAGAAGGTCGACTCATTGGGTGTCTGGACTTGATACTTTGGTAAGGCCAGTTGAGTGGCAAAGAATAAGTTTGGGCTAAAGTGTTAACCGCAGGTGGTCGCTTGTCTTGACTCTTTGTAAGTGTCCACTTGGGCCACCATTTTGGCTCAAGTGGGCACTTCCCTTCTGTCTTGAAATCTGAAATCTTTCTTTTCCCCTCTTATCAAAGCCATGTACGCCCCCGCCTACGCTGGTGCCGCGGTTGCAGAGGCTAAGGCGAAGGCAAAGGCCTCCATGGCGAAGTACCTGGCAAGCCTCGTGAAGAAGGAGGAAGAAGGATGGACCGTCTTGGCTGCTGAGGTCCCTCAGGCACCTGACGAACGGTTCTTCTCCAGCGCCGACGAGCTGGAGCAGGCCCCACTCATCCCAGCCAAGCGCAAGGCAGAGGACGAGCTGATGGCAGACTCATCCCCTGGGGTGGCGCAGGTGCCGAAGGCCCTGACACGCCCCCCAGGGGCGTTCCTGGAGCTTCTCAACCCTCCGGAGCCGGATGTTCCCATGGAGGAACTCCTGGCGGAAGACGAGGAGGAGCCCCCGATGGAGGAACTCCTGGCGGAAGACGAGGAGGAGCCCCCGATGTCCGACACCAAGTGGCAGAGACGCCATGACCTGATGGCAAAGGTCAGGGAGCAGGCGTCCTCGGAGGAGGATGAGGAATCCGCAGCCCCCCCGCCGGGGGGAAGCGTCTTCACCAAGGCCCTCAAAGTCTCTGAGGGCCTTTACCAATTCAGTGAGGACCAGAGATGGCGGGCGACTTCCCGTGTTTTGATGCGACCACGGCCACTAGGCTCCGCCGACTGCAGGCCAAGGATGTCCAGCGGCTCCTGAGAGGCTTTGAGGGCCCCCAACTCAAGCAGGGGGGCCTGGAGCGCGTGGTGGAGGCGTTCTACATCGCCAAGATGAAGTATGAGCATGAGGCCCGGCTCAGCACCCCGGGACAGCAGGTCGGCAAGCGCGCTGGCCTGGGGTATGGGGGCCTGGAGAACCGCCCCCTGGGTAAGGAGCCCACATCCTGGATCTGCCCCTGCTGCACCATGCCCTGGGTGAAGAAGGGCGCCAGGAAGTGTATGGGGTGCGGCAAAAAGACGGAGCCCATTGACACGGCGTCCAACTTGGCCACCCTGGAAATGGCGGGCACGCACTGGCAGCTGACAGTGGATGACCAGGGCAACGCGGTCTGGACGGCGGCCCGGTCCGCAGGTGCCGATGGCCCTGATACGGACCGGGCCCGCGACCTCAAGCTCAGCGCCTCGGTGGATGTCAGCGAGCTGGCCACCGACCCGATGGCATGCGAGAACCTGGACCAGGCCAGCTTCTCGGATTTTGTCCCCTCCTCGGTCCGGGCGGTGATCAGGAACTGCCCCATGGAGCTGGACGAGGATTTCCTGACGGCCCCAATGGGGGAAAGGCCCCCGTTGCCGGGCGACAAGGAAGAGGGCCAGGAATGCAGGGCCTTCCACCCGTCGGCAGTGAAGGCCTTCAAAATCCAGACCCGGCTCAACGCCACCACCATCGCCCAGGAGGAGGCCAAGAAGGCAGACCAGGTGGCAGCGGTGGAGCGATCCGCGGCGGTCCTCCACGAGCTTCAAGGAGGGGCCATCGATGGAGGAGGCGATGGGGGCCAACTCCTCAAGAATTTGGACTTGGACCTCTTCCGCGAGAAACTGCTGGATAAGCTGGGCGCGGACTGGGGGAGGCCCACACCGGAGCTCCTCCAGGCCCAGACCACTGCGGAAGAGGCGAAGGCAAAGCACCAGGCCAGACAAGCGAAGGGCGCCCTCGAGACCAGAATGCTCGAGCCCATCAAGCCTCCATTCAGTGCGTGGCCTAACGAGGTCCGAGTTGCCATTGAGACAGGGGTCTTTGAGCCGACCACGGCATGGAGGGATTTCAGCATGGACGACCTCACGTCCCTCACGGACTCTTACCTCGAAGCCAAGGCGGTCATCTCATCTCGCTGCCGGGCAGGAACCCCTTTCCGGCGGCCCTCCTGGCAGATCTGCCGGATCTGGCGGGGATCCCCATTCCAAAGGCGGGGGGCTCTGGTGCGGCGCGCCCAGGTGCCGAGGGCCCTGACAGGCAGCCCACCATCCCCCCAGCTCGGGCTCTGGTGCGACGAGCTCAGGTGCCGAGGGCCCTGACAAGCCGTCCGCCACCCCGGGGGGCCTGGATACCCAGGACCCGGAGGTGCAGCTCGCGGTCCTGCGCTGGATGATGAGCAAACGGGTCGGAGAGGTCCGTATCTTTGCGGGCCGCTGGGTCCGACGACCGGGCCCCGTACACGTCCCGGACTGGGCCAACAACCTCACCAAGGTGAATCCGGAGGCGCTGGAAAAGGGTACGCACCCCAGGAACCACCAGGTGGGTGGACTCCCATGGGCCAGGTACTCCGTTGATGAGCTGAACCAGCAGGCCAAGGCGGGGGACCGACCATACCCCGAGGACCTGCGATCCATCTTCTGGGCGGCCCCCCACGATCCGGATGAGGACTTCCACTGGGCGCGCCAGATCTCGTCCTGGACACTTCCAGGCTTGCTGGGGATGTTTGGTCACAGCTTCACCCTGCGCCAGCTCTGGGGAGTCTGGGAGTCCCTGCCACTGCTTCGGGGCCCGAAGAACAAGGCCCAGAATCAGATCCGCCTGGAAGGCTGGGAGACCCTGAAGGAAGACGCTCGGTGCTTCCTGAAGGAGGAGGGCCTTCCGTTTCCGCAGACAGGACCGGAGTGGCGATTGGTCTACCGGGCCATGGGCAAGGTCCTTGCGGCCCGGGCCTTCCTCACGGACACCCCGGCGGAGGTGATGCAGCTCCCGGTCCAGGACGTGGCGGACTCCAAGGAACAGATGATCCTCCGGGCGGTATGTGATGAGCGCATATCTGTCCCGGTGGAGAGTCTCCAGCAGTTTTTCAGAGGTGTACCAGGCCCTCATGGACCGCATTGGAGGCCCGGGGGCCCTGGCGGAGGTGAAGGTCAACTGGCGCTGCAACACGAAGCAGTGGTGGGTCGGCGCAGTCCCCGACTCAGTGGCCCCCTCCATCTACCGCAAGCTCGGCTACACCAACGACATGATCAAGCTGATGGGCCTGGACCCCTCCGCCCCCGGGTGCCGGACAGGTGCCGATGGCCCTGACATCCGCCCCAGGGGAGGAGAGGGCGATGAGGGGATCGTTTACCCCCCCATCACATCGGACAACGTCCACGGCGTGGTGGGCAAGGATTACAGGAAGAAGAACTTCTCGGCGGAGACGAAGCACGTCTTCTGGGCGCACATGGAGTGTGGCCTGGTTCTGAGCTCAGTCACCCCAGGGGTACTGGCGCGCCGGGGGAGGGGGCACTCGCCTCCTCCAGATCCGGGCCGGCAAGGCCATCCTTCAGCTGGTGCTGGACGAGCCGCCCGATGGCCTGTACAACCGCTGGGTCAAGGAACGGTTGGAGTTCTACCGCCGGGTAGAGCCGTCTGCCCCGCTGCGGGATGTCTCCGTGGTGGACCAGAAAGTCCCCGGTTCAGGTTCAGCCACATCACCCAGACCGGCCATGTTTCAGATGCCATCTGGGAGCTGATTCTCCGGAACCCGGAGGCGGCGGCGCTCAAGCGCATTGACGACATTGCCAAGGGGGCCGTATGATCATGCAGCACTGCGGCCATCCGGAACGGACTCGCAACGCACCCCGGGGGGGGACAGCTGCCGAGGGCGCTGATATCCCCCCCCGGGCACAGCACAGGCCTAGACCTGTACCAGGCGAGAAAAATGGGCGCGCTTGGGCTGGTCCGGGGTGCGCCTTGGCTCCCCCCCCTCGTTTGGTTTTTCCCTTTCCGGGGAGGCTCCCTGGGTCCCCCCGCCCCTTTTCGGGCTTGGCTTTCCGGGGTTTTGGGGCCCCCCCCTGTTGTTTGGTTGGGGTTTGCGCCTAGGGATTTGGCTCCGGGCTCGAGTGGATCATGATGATGTGGAGGCCCCGCCTCCCTTCCCCGTTTGGAACGACCTTCCTAGGGGTACCAACCGCGGTCCAGTTGATTTTGCATGACCTGGGATTTGCACCAGTGCAGTCGGACGGGGAAATCCTCGTGGCGTGCTGCCTGGAATGGGTCAAAAAGGACCAGGTTGCCAACCCGGATGCGGTGGTCTTCGACCCGCGACCGTGGACACGAATCGTGGGGATGGCACCCGACGGTAACCATGTCCTGGTGGCCTCGGACACCTACAACTTGATCCTCGCAAGGATACTCGGCTCCCAACCACAACCGCTGGAGGAGGCGGATTTGGAGCTCGCTACTAAGACCCTGCAGCAACTTCTGTTTCGTGCGGCAGGCGCCAGACAATCGCACACCTATTCTCCACTGGAAATGGAACAGGCCATCCGGGACCGTGAGGAGTGGATCCTCTCCGGATCGATTGAGGCCCCGGATGTCCTGGCAGTGGCCAACAAGTGGCGGCATTGGAAACCAGGGAAGATCAAAACCCAACTGCCGACATCCCAACGAGCGTTGGAACAGCACTTGAGGGCCAGGTGGCTGGAACGCCTCCTGGGCTACTTCATTCCTTTCC